GTGTCCCCAAAGTGTCCCCAGAGTGTCCCCATGGAGGTGGGAGAGGGAGTGTCCCCAAAGTGTTCCCAAAGTGTCCCCGAGATGTTCCCGAGGTGTCCCCAAAGTGTCCCCAAAGTGTCCCCGAGATGTTCCCGAGGTGTCCCCAAGGCGTCCCCGAAGTATCCCCATGGAGATGGGACAGGGAGTGTCACCAGAGTGTCCCCAGAGTGTCCCCAAAGTGACCCCAGAGTGTCCCCAAAGTGTCCCCAAGGTGTCCCCATGGTGTCCCCGAGATGTTCCCAAGGTGTCCCCAAAGTGTCCCCATGGAGGTGGGACAGGGAGTGTCACCAGAGTGTCACCAGAGTGTCCTCAAAGTGTTCCCAAAGTGTCCCTAAAGTGTCCCCATGGAGGTGGGAATGGGGTATTCCAAGGGGTGATGGTCATGGAATGTCCCCAGAGTGTCCCCGAGATGTTCCCGAGGTGTCCCCAAAGTGTCCCCATGGAGGTGGGAGAGGGAGTGTCACCAGAGTGTCACCAGAGTGTCCCCCAAGGTGTTCCCAGAGTGTCCCCAAGGTGTCCTCAAAGTGTCCCCAGAGTGTCCCCAGAGTGTCCCCAGAGTGTCACCAGAGTGTCCCCCAAGGTGTCCCCAAAGTGTCCTCAAAGTGTCCCCAGAGTGTCCCCAAAGTGTCCCCATGGAGGTGGGAGAGGGAGTGTCACCAGAGTGTCACCAAGGTGTCCCCAAGGTGTCCCCATGGAGGTGGGAATGGGGGATTCTGTGGGGTCACAGTCAGGGAATGTCCCCAGAGTGTCCCCAAGGTGTCCCCAAAGTGTCCCCATGGAGGTGGGAATGTCCCTAAAGTGTCACCAAGGTGTCACCAAAGTGTCCCCATGGAGGTGGGAATGTCCCTAAAGTGTCACCAAGGTGTCACCAAAGTGTCCCCATGGAGGTGGGAGAGGGAGTGTCACCAGGGTGTCCCCAAAGTGTCCCCAAAGTGTCCCCAGAGTGTCCCCAAGGTGTCCTCAAAGTGTTCCCAAGGTGTCACCAAGGTGTCCCCAAAGTGTCCCCAAAGTATCCCCATGGAGGTGGGACAGGGAGTGTCACCAGAGTGTCCCCAAGGTGTCCCCATGGAGGTGGGACAGGGAATGTCCCCAAAGTGTCCCCAAGGTGTCCCCAGAGTGTCCCTGAGATGTCCCTGAGGTGTCTCCAAGGTGTCCCCATGGAGGTGGGAGCTGCAATGGCCTCCAGGTGTCTGCAAAATGTCCCCAAGATGTCCCCAAGATGTTCCTGGGGTGTCCCCAAAGTGTCCCCATGGAGGTGGGAGAGGGAATGTCCCCAAAATATCCCCAAGGTGTCCCTGTGGAGGTGGGAGCAGGAATGTCCTCCAGGTGTCCTCAAGGTGTCCCCAAAGTGTCCCCAGGGTGTCCCCAGGGTGTCCCCAAGGTGTCCCCAGGGTGTCCCGAGGTGTCCCCAGGGTGTCCCCAAGATGTCCCCAAGGTGTCTCCAGGGTGTCCCCAAGATGTCCCAGGGTGTCCCCAGGGTGTCCCGAGGTGTCCCCAAGATGTCCCCAGGTGTCCCCAAGGTGTCCCCAGGGTGTCCCGAGGTGTCCCCAAGGTGTCCCCAGGATGTCCCCAAGGTGTCCCCAGCTCCTCCCACAGTCTCTCTGATGTTTTTTCCGTGTCCCGCAGCTGCCCGAGGTTCACACCAACAGCTGTGACAACATCTCCCAGTTCTCCGTGGACTCCATCACCAGCCAGGAGAGCCGCGAGCCCGTCTTCATCGCCGCCGGTGACATCCGGTCAGGGTCCTGCAGAAATCCTGAAAAAATCCTGCTGAAATCCTGCAAAAATACTGCAAAAATCCCGCAGAAATCCCACAGAAATCCTGCAAAAATCCCGCCTCAATCCTGCAAAAATCCCACAGAAATCCTGCAAAAATCCCGCAGAAATCCTGCAGAAAATACCACAAAAATACCATGGAAATCCTGCTAAAATCCCACAGAAATCCCGCAAAAATCCCACAGAAATCCTGCCCAGATCTCGGCCAAATCCCATCCAAATCCCACTCAAATCCTGCTCAAATCCCACCCAAATCCCACAAAAAGCCTCCAAAACCCCACAAACCCCTGGATCCCATTGCGGGCGGCGGCTCCCCCAAACCCAGGATTTCTCCCCCAAACCCCAGGATTTCTCCAAACCCCAAATCCCAGTATTTCTCCAAACCCCAAATCCCAGTATTTCTCCCCAATCCCAGTATTTCTCCCCAAATCCCGGGATTTCTCTCCAAACCCCAATCC